TTTTTGAAAACTCCGCGAAATAAAGTTGTTATATCAAAAATAGAACCAGGCGAATATATCCATTTTGATGTAGAAGTAGGTATTTCTAGTGTTCTTTGTACTTTTCAATTACGTCAATTCCCAAATCAATTAAATATAGATTTTAATACCGATGGTTGTTATCTAGACAGATCAGGAAGTATTTATATTTGGTCAATTTAGTGTAGGCTTGTAAATATCAAGTATATAAAACCAATATATAAGGATGTTTCAAAACTAAATTTATTTTTTGAAAACTTTGTCGTAGATATTAAGAAGATAATGTCTAATGAAGGTGTATCTTACTTGAAAATTACTTACTGGAAATTACTGAAAAAATTTCCAATATGTTTAAGAAGTTTCATAGCTAACGCACCAGTTCAGCTTTTGTTCTCAATCATTGAAACTATACATCGTCTAATCAACCATGCTCTAAATGTAAAATTTCTGGTATGCGATGAAGGTCGTTATGTTTTCCGTGTAAATCTCATATTCTTCATATGGATGAAGAGTATATCGCATATGTAGATGATGATCACCATAGAAATGGCAATAGTTCATTATCGATGTTATCAATAGGAATGGTTTCGCAGGTTCCATTTGAGTATATGCATCTTTTATGCCTGAGAGTTATGAAAAAATTATTATCTGCGTAGGTATATGAGAAATATTCACGATTTTCAAAGTTGCCTGCAAGAACTATTACTTGTATAAGCAAACGATTGGAAATACTTAAAGATTATTGTCCATCCGATTTTGCAAGACGTTCTAGGTCACTTGATGTGTGTATGAAATATATAGTAAAGCCACAGAATTTCGCCAATTTTTATTATATACAGGCCCAGTAACGTGCGGTATTGTACAACAGGAAATGTACACACACTTTTTATTTTTACTTGTAGCAATAAGAATTTTAACTTGCGTATCACCATCAGAAGCGTATTTAATTTTACAGATCATGCTTTGAAAAAATTTGTTATTAGATCCGAAAATTTGTATGGTCCAACATTTCTTTATAACATGCATACTCTTATTTACCTTATTAATGATGTGCGATTAATGATATGTATTAGGTCCTCTTGATTTCTTTTCTGCTTTCGCAAAAATGACAATATTTAGGAAATTGTGTAGAAAACCTGATCTTCCTCTTTAACAGATTTTCCAATAGAAATGAAAGCAACTTGTAATTGACCATTGCAATATTGATACTTCTATTAATGTATTTATGGAGCATAATTCAGGTCCTCTCCCACACAATACTACTTACAATCCTCGTCAATATCATAAAATTAATTTTAATGGAATTTTATTCACCACAAATACACGTGACAATTGTTGCATCTTATATGATGGATCTATTTGCATTGTTATTAATATTTTCATGGCCAATATTATTTGGTGGAAAACAAATTTTTACAGATACATGACTCTTGCAATATTGTTTTTTTATCTTCAGCGTTAGACATCTTTAAATGTTCTGAATTGAGTTCTCGTATTTTTTCCATTAATATTAATAAAGTGCAAAATGTTATAACATGCCTTTCTAGAATCATATATCTGTGAATGACAGTAGTGATGACGAAGATTATACAGAAACTTCGCAATATAGTATAGTAATAATATAGTATATTACACATAATAAAAACTTAAAACTTACATTCTATTATGGAATATTGCAATTGTCATTGCTACTTGTATATTATTTTTTATTTTTTGATTTTAGCACAGTTTTAATATTTTCAAATTGTTTAAATTTTTACGTTAGATCAGTTTTTTTAATAAGTTAAATATTGATCCTTTTTTGTATTACATAATACATACAATGCTTGTTATTTTGATTGATCATAGCTAATCGCTCTGAACAACTTGCAATAAATATAGAATACAGTGATATCTATTCACAATACAATGAGTTAATAAAAAGTTACGTAAAAAAATAGAAATAATAGAAAAAAAATTTTCATTTTTATGAAATATTACTTTGATAAAATTCCAGATGTATGTAACGTTTTCACTTCGACGTTTGATATGTTTATGATGACATAATGTTTTGCGTATTCATCTTCGAATATTATATTAGACTAAAGTATAAAGTGCACATCCTCAACGTAAAATTTGTACTGCAACGCTGGAAAAATGTTGCTGAAATTATTCCACGTTTTGGAATACTTTTCAACAAAATTTCAGCATTTCAACAATTCAAATTTCAATTTAATTTCAGCAATTTTTAGCTGAAAAATCCATTTTCGACAAAGTTTCAGAAAAATTTTACCAAAATTTTTAGACAAATTCCAGCAAGAATTTCAGAGAAATTTCAGAAAATTTCAGAGAAATTTCGATTGGATTTCAGTGATTTTTCAGTATATTAGTTGAAAAATTCAGTGAAGTTTCAGCAAATTTTCAGCAATTTTGCTGAAATGTTCCAAAACGGAATAATTTCAGCGAAACTTTCACCAGGGTATATATATGTGTGTGTGTGTGTGTGTGGGGGGGGGGGGGGGGGGGGG